ATATATACTATATAAAGTTGACTAAATCTCACATAATTATAGTATTTTAGTAATTATAGTGTATAAAGTTAAAATCATAAATAATATTCAACGTTAAACTGGTACACAGTTAAAAACATTTTATTTAGGCCCATCTACGGCGTTCAAAAAGTTGACGGCTCTACATGAAGAGTCGTCAACTTTTTGAAGGCCATAGATAGGCCTAAATAAAATGTTTTTAAATGTGTACCAGTTTAACGTTGAATATTATTTATGATTTTAAATCTTACATATTTGGATTATTAAGTAAGAAATGACAATAAAATAACAGCAACTGTCTTACCTATTTATTATACACGTTTTAACGTCTCGGAAATGTCATTGGGATTCGCAACAAACTATAATAATGATTTTTAATTACCTTATCCCATCGCCATCTAGTGGTGGTAAATTCACAATTTTATAATCCTTTTCCATGGCCAACGTTTCGCTAAATAATAACTGTAGGGAAACTATGGATCTTGTTTGTCTTTTCAATACACATCGTTCTTAAATGCAGTCAACTGTTTCATCGTAACATTTGTTTGTACTGATGTTTTTGTTAATATTATTGTTGTTTTTTTCATTTCTTAGACGCAAACGTCCAACTTCTCTTACCTCCTGGCTTAAAGGATGATGAAATAACCCAATATCCAATGATCGTATTTGTGTAAGTATGACAAAATAATCTAGTATCCAATGATAGTGTTCATATGAATATGGCAAAGTAACTTAATATCCAATGGTCTTATTTGTGTAAGTATGACAAAATAATCCAGTATCCTATGGTAGTTTTCATATGAATATGGCAAAGTAACTTAATATCCAATGGTCTTATTTGTGTATGACGAAATAATCCGTTGCCAATAGCAGTGTTTGTGTATTTATGACGAAATAACTCAGCAGTTGAGTATAAGTATGAAGAAACAGACTATTAGACAGTAATAATGTTTACGTGAATATGACGAAGTAACCCAGTATCTAATAGTCGTGTTCGTATAAATATGACGAAAATCTATGATCGCGTTTGTAAGAATAACCCAATATCTAATGCTAGCGTTTGTATGAGTAATAAAAAAAAATCTTGTCTAAAAGCGTGGCAGAACAATTCTATTTAACGGTTGTATTTGTATAAGTATGACGAAGTAATCAATGATCTTGCCTGTAATATTATGGCAAAACGACGACCATTAGACACTAGTTATTGTTGAAGTATGACGAAATAATCAATGATCTCGTCTGTAAAATTATGGCAAAACAACTAGTGTCTAATGGTCGTCATTGTTGAACTATGACGTAATGATAAATTATCTCGTATGTAAAATTATGGCAAAACAACTAGTGTCTAATGGTCGTCAATGTTGATGTATGACGAAATAATCAATGATCTCGTCTGTAAAGTTATGGCAAAACAACTAGTGTCTAATGGTCATAATTGTTGAAGTATGGCAAAATAATCAATGATCCAAAAATAGTGTTCGTGTATGACGGAGTAATCCAGTATCCTATGGTAATAATGGTTATGACAAAATAATTGAATATCCAAAGACCGTCATTGTTGAAGTATGATGAAGTAACGTAGTAAAACATAATGCAACACCCTAAACGTAATAGGGACGTAACACCAACAACAAAGAGTGTTAACTCTATATATGCGACACTCCCAAAAACCATGTTTTTGGGGTTTTTTTTAATGGAAAAATCACGTAAAGTGTTTAAAAGTAATTTAAAGAGTACTTGAGTAAGGAAGCTCATTAATCTAAAACAAGATCGTTGGTCTTCAGAAAAAGACAAACCAACGATCTGTTGAAACATACAGTATGTTCCACCATCAATAAAATTCTTTCTTAAGCTTATAAATTGTTGTTTGCCTACCTCTTGTAATTTAAAGAGTAGTTTTCAATCTATGTTAAGTTAGAGTAGTTTAAGCTTCTATTGGTCCACTTTAAAAAATAGTATAGTAACACAGAAAGCACAGTATGCAATTAAATGTTCGTGAGCTTGGCAAGTGTTGAAAAATTCTTAAGAAAAAATAAACTTCTTATCATTTTTTTATTCCATATTTTTTTCAAGTAACCATATAAGTTTATCAATGTGGACTTTTATTTTGCTACGCATAGATACGCTGGTCCAGGACAGCAACTTGTTACTGAACGGTTTGAAATACATTGGGGCACGTACCTAGCTAGCCGGAAGAATTTCATCTATGCCACAATCGATGGAAGAGGCAGTGGTAACCGTGGAGACCGTATTCTTCATCAAATATACAAGAAGTTAGGAAGTGTAGAGATAGAGGATCAGATGGTAGTTTCCAGGTTAGTAAACATCCAACTTTAGTTCTGACCCAAATGGAGTTTATACAATATATTAGAAGTACATAGTTCTAGAAGTGGTAAAAGATATCCGGTTCGTAAGTAGTCTGCTTCAGTAGTGCTTGAACTCTGACTAGATTCGAGTAATACTGACTTATGACCAATGTTCTCTCTAATATTTTCAATCCATGTGCGGAGTGAATTTATTCATGTGCACCAGTATCAAAGCGATGTTTCCTTGTTTTAGGGGGAGGGGATATTTTTAGACCATTGACCCTAATGGATCATTAGGCCGCTTTGCAATGCTACCAGTTGGTTATTTGGGCTTTAGGCCTATCGAATGTCAGGGTCATTAAGGTCGTAAACGTGTTGAGGTTCCTCAACATTACTGAGGATGTGCGCGGCTGTAACAATGAAGTGCGCGGCACTTGATTGATTGTTGTGCAGCTGCGCAGCTTAAAGGGAACACTGCTCATGACAGTGATCCCGTTCTGATCACTTTTAAAATATCCGGTTCGTAACTAGTCTTCTTCAGTAGTGCTTTAACTCTGACCTGATGGATTTTGGTAGTGACCCATTTCTGATCCTAATAACTTCTTGAAACTGGTAAATATTGGTATTATTTCTAAGACTAACTCAGTTTTAGTATAGTAGTTCATTTCGTGAGGTTAGAGATTTTATATATACTCGTTTTTATTTATGATTAGAATATAGTTTAGATCAATAAATACTAAGTTTTTACTAGCCCTCCAGTTTTGATCGATCGATAAAGACCCTATTTTATTAATGCTCCAGTTCTAATCGGATTAAATCTTTAGATCAGTAAGTACTCGATTTTACGGTGCTGCCTTTCTGTAATTAGAGTTATCTTATTTAATACTATAAAAAATTCAATTCTAATCAGGTTGACGTTCCTAATTTATGAAGCCTACGGTTTTAGAGATGGGTTAAATCTGACCATATTAATGATTAAATAGTCTTAAGTAGTTTCAGTTAGTTGTAATCAATTTGAATACATGTTTACGTTCATAAACAATGTCAATTTCAGTATTTATGACAGTCTGGTCATGTTATATATTTCATAACATTAAATACAATGCTGACCGCTCAATCTCTCGTGTAATAATCATATCTGTATCTCGAGTGCAAATGTTTAAATATAATTTAAGGCTTTGTTTGTTTAAAGTGAAGCCAAAGCTACACAATGGTCTATCTATGCTCTGCCCACCACGGGTATCGAAACCCGGTTTCTAGCGTCGTAATTTCGCAGACATACTGCTGTGCCACTGAGTGGGGGGCCGTTTTTAAATACTTGAACATTTTCAAAATATAAATATCATTATTCTAAATGCTGCTAGTAAGGCCATTTATTACAAAGCTACAACAGTATGACCCAATAAAAACTAGTGAGCGTGTTGGCCCTCTGGATTTCGAAGCTGGCGAGTCAGTTTCGAACCTGTGCGGTGCCACAATATATCTCCCACATTTTATGCTGTTGGTGCGTTATAACAGCGACAGTCAGTTCCTTAGTAGTGATGATGGTTAGTAGGGGTGTTGTTGACTGGCTGGTCAGTAGTTCAGAGTTAGGGACGACGGCAGATTGCCTTAGTAGTTTTGTCATGAAGACAAATACAATAAAAACTGTTTCAAAACGATAAAACCTTGCCCGTAATAACAATTAACTGCTTTAAACAATTAAGGGATAATTGAATTTTTCTATAATCTATTTTTAAAGCTCAGTAACATTATATTTGCTTTATCATAGTCAAAATATTAAAAACTTAGTGTATATTTATGACACCTTAAATAATTAATATTCAATATGTTGCCAACTGACCCCAGAGCATTTTGTTAAACCGATCCTGGATATTGTATATTACTGTTGCAAAGGTTTCCAGAATAACTAGTAAAAGAGGTATTTGGTATTTTCAACAAGAATGGTACTTCATGCGACACATGACCGACAGATTCAGCCATAGCTTATCCAGAACTGCTGACAAGGTGGGAGGATAACCAGTCAGAAGCACCTGCAACATATTCTTAAACGGAAACGAGATTGACTGTCACTCTTATGATACCTCCATAGCTAAAAGTATGGATCGTGTTAGGCAGAATATTGCGGGTTCGAATATTGATTTTTCAGATCCGAAGCACGGCAGGTTAACCACTAGGCCACGCCCAGACCATAACAGGAATAAGAATGATAGTGGTTCATAATAGAGATCGCAAGGAATTGCACAAAACCCTAATAGAACGTTCAGGAAAAAAGCATCTTAAACAGTAAAGATTCAGTTGAAACAACACTTTATAACCTTTACTATTGACTGCTAAGGCTGTAAACATATAACAATGCACAAAAAAGCACGTATGTTAGGAAAAGAAAATATACTCAAAATGGCCTCTTTGTAATTATTATTCTTCTTCTTATTATTATTCTCTTGCCAGCCTACAACCAAACTGGCTTGGTATATTGCACCCAAACTTTTTGTAAAATACTTTTTGTTTTGTTTTGTTTTGAATTTCGCGCAAAGCTACACGAGGGCTATCTGCGCTAGCCGTCACTAATTTAGCAGTGTAAGAATAGAGGGAAGGCAGTTAGTCATCACCACCCAACGCCAACTCTTGGGCTACTTTTTTACCAACGAATAGTGGGATTGACCGTCACATTATAACGCTCTCACGGCTGAAAGGGCAAGCATGTTTGGTGTGACGGGGATTCGAACCCGCGACCTGCAGATTGCGAGTCGAGCACCCTAACCACCTGGCCATGCCGGGCTGTAGAATACTAAATAAGGTACTACGAAGGTCGTAGGGGTATTGAAAAGTCGATTTGTTTCTTCTATATTTTACATAAGTTAAAAACGTCATAATTCTAGTGTAAACGATGGTATCATTACTCCTTGGAATTAACTTTCTTACAAATATCTGGTGTTACTTTAAAAACCTTATAAGTATAGGTGTGAAACAGGAATTACCAGCCAATAATGGATTAGTGTAACATATAGATATGCAATGCTTCATACACTATACAATCGGTGTCTTTAGGGAACCAACCCCTATATTGTGTATGAAGCTATGTTTATTATCATTACAATGTATAAAGATAGCTGCCATATTAAGTAATCCTTTACCTATAATTGAGCATTAAAAAAGTCAGCAAACAAGGCTGAAGATACTGTAGAATTATTTGCTCAAACTACAAATTCCTATTTTGACTCCACCAAATGTGATTCTAAGTGACAGCATGGAGCCAAAATAGGGGTTTGTAGCTTAAGTAAATAATGCCTACAGTATTCCAGCCTTGTTTCCTTACTTTTTTTACGATCCCTATTTGCCGATTTGTAAACTCTCAATTTTTATTTATCTGGTATAAATGTATAAAAAGCACTGCATATATATATATATATATAAAGACATCAATGTCACATACACCTGAGATAAGTAAGTTAGGATAATTAAAAATTACAATAATATTAACATAACTGTAAACTCTAAGTTATGATGAAATAGGACTTCACTGTTAAAAGAGTTTTTTTTGTTTTTTTCACACTAGATATCTAAAGAATGACTTGCCATTTATTGACCCTGAAAAGATCGCCATCTGGGGGTGGTCTTACGGAGGATACGCTGCAGCCATGGCTCTTGCTACAGACACTGGTGTTTTCAAATGCGGTATATCTGTCGCTCCAGTAACAAGTTGGCGATATTATGGTGAGTCATTCCGATTTTATATCCTATTGAATTCAGTGAAATAAATGGGATATTTTTTTTGCGTGTTTGTGTACTTTTGTGACCAACTCTTCAGTAGGTGTATTCTCATCTGTCAGTTTCCTATAGGCCTGTCATTGGCCTAACTTGAGTGTTAGAACAGCGAGAAAACAGGACTTGATAATGACAAACTTCTGTTTTTCTCTTCATATATCAACGTGGGTAACACAACTTTAGAAGTAACATTAAATTACTAAGAACAGTGTATTAATCATCTTGGATTAGCCATGGACTTAAATATATACTGTACTTAAAGACACTGAAATAAAAACATTCGAATACATTTCAAGCTGTTAGCAGCTTGCAGTACGTTTGACAAGACTTTGATAGGAGTTGAACCAAAACGATCACTATAATTGAAGCAAAGTACAAAAAACAAAGACAACTATACAGACTATCGAGTGAAATTTCATCAAAGCATGTTTATCTCTGCACGTGCTATTTGACTATACAGTGACGCAAATAATCGTAGCATATATCTCTGCTTATCAGCTATGACTATGGTCGATGGTATTGGACACGTCACAGTTTCTGGTCCAATTACACGTTAATCTAACTTTAGTAAACTGCAATGGAACATGAATATGCATCACAATAATCGACGCTTCATTTAATGTGTTTCCAAGATTAGGAAGCGTAAATGTGTATTTCCAAGAAACAACAAAACCAATCCGTTTTCTCACGAGTATCACGTTTTTAACCTCCAAAAAACCATTTAATAAAGTTATCTGTTTGATGAGACACCATTTATTATGGAAGAAATAGATCTGAGAATAATAACCTGATTTAACCCGAGAATTATCGATAGAATTCACACCTCCTTCCCCCCCCCCCCCCTTACTACTACTTTACGTACTACTATACGTCGTGTACTCTACTCTACTTGTTGTTATAACGTACTAACTAACTACGTACGTACTACAAACAAACTAAACTAACTTA